CGAACAAGAATCAAGCAGACAAACCTAAAGAAAGTATTGTAAAAAATTATGGGTGGCAAATATTTATTTTAGAAGTTGGACCTACCACCGAGAAACCGGAAGACCAAAAGTTGCCTCGACTCCGTTCTTCGCGCGCTAACCAAGAAGTAGTGGCTGCTCTTCGTGAGCCCGAAGTACCCGGTAACGATTGTGAATTAATTACATTGCCTATTTCGAGATTTTAGCCATGTCACCATCTTCGAATGAGCCAATGAGCAAGTTGAAGCAGCGACAGAAAGATGCCATGGAAATCGTCGCGCTACTGGTTGATGCGCCTTTTGTCAACAAACACTTCTTCGTCAACATTTTGAAGCAAAAAGTAAAAACATCTCTTTTATTAAAATTCAGTTGTTTATATAGGATTGCAATGGTCTGAATCCATTTGGTTGCGCCATTCAACAAAGAGCTTACTCAGCCGCCAAGGTCATCTGGGAAACAAGTCTTCGAAGAAAGGTCGATATCAATATCCTTCTTGCTCCACCACCGGATTGGGCATCATCGACCGATCACACCAAGAGCTGGGCTTTGTTTGCTTTGGCTATTGCTGACACTTGCTCATATACTTGGACCGGACAGACACGTGTGAAGATGGTCAGTCGAGTTTTGTTATTCTTTATGTTCTGCCTTAGGATGTTTACGAATGCCGCACTTGCAACTTGACCGGTTCGAGCTGTTGTTGCGCGGAATGTATCTTGACCTGCCATAAAGGACACTCAATGTGGGTAAAATATCTGGTTGTTTCTGTGATCGGCGCAATGTGACTTTTTTAGCTCCCTCAAAGAAACAAGCTCAGCTGCCTACTGTGATTGCTGGGAAAAATGCGCGTGCAAGGCTTTGGTTGGTTTGATCCTTTGAAAAATAATAAAAAAAAGTTTTATTAGGTTTCTGGAAACTTGGAAGCACGGATGTGGTTGTTCAAAGAAATTATTGCGAAGACCGACTACCATTGTTGTCCAAGTGAGAAGTCCCAACATATCATCTACTTTTTGGCTCAAACTGTGGCTCGACAGAATGTTGAACAATCGGCCTATCGGAGGAAGTCGCATAGACATCCTCGCGAAGGTAATATGAAAAGTTTGATATTATCGTTAGTTTTTTTAGAAGCTCCACCAAATACACCCGAACAATGTTTGGATCCACCAGATTTTGCCACAAAGGCTTTGAGTGTTTGTTTGGGAAACTCAAAAGTTCTTCAGCAATTCGTGATGGAGGTTTTATAAATTTTAATCGCACTTTTGCACTACTTTAGGTGACCAACAATGACTTGAACCCTAACGAATTGGATAACGTGGGAAAAGAAGAGTGGCGCCAGCGCTTCAAGAGCGAGCAACTCGACGTGACGCTGTTTCTTTTGCTGACGAAGTATTGTGTTTTGAAAATTCATTGTATAATTTTTATTTAGATGTCCTTCTACTAATTTGGCTTGTTTGGTGGAGCTTTTGCAAAAAGGGATGAAAAGAAGACAGGACGCTGCGGGCCCAATCGTCGGTCGAATTATCCGAGCCATTCTGCGAATTTATGCTCTTCTTTGCTCATTGTCAACCACGGCGTCTATGGTGGCAACAAATGGAATCTTCACTAAAGTGTGTTTGATGGCTATATCCTTATGATTTTTTTAGTTTCCGGTTACTATTGACAAAGATGACCAACTCGGGATCGGAATCTTTAACCTTCGCCGCTTGCTTACTGGTGGAAGTAAATCCGATGATCCGAAGCCAGACAAGTAACAAATATTTGAACAAAATTGTCACCTTATTGTTTTAGGATCATTTACGTGATGAACAGATGCCATGATGTTTTGAAAGCTTTTCGCCCATACACGAGTTTGGAAGCTGCACGTATGGCGAACGGACTGATTCATCCGGTCGTTGTGGGAAGAGCTGCTGCCATCATGCCGATCAACACGAAAATCGCGGATAGCGAGATTTTTGCGGTAACTTGGCTAGAAAATTTTCAGAAAGGGGAAATGTTTAGACGATTGAGAAAACACTGATGCGAAAGCCAGCTGCCAAGGCGCGGCCACATGGTGATGAAGAAGAAGACAAGCAGACTGGCGATGAAATGGACAGCGATCACAATTCGCTTGTCTCGTCAAGCACTTTTTCGATGAACGAAGAAGAGCGCGAAGGTGAGGGTCTAGTTCTTAAATTAAAAAGTTTTTAATTGTTTAGATCAAGTCTCGGATGGAGATGAAAGCGCTGCTTCCTTTTTCAGCGATGAGGCTTCGGAGGTAAACTTTCTTTTTGCCTCGAATTTAAATCTAATGATTTAGGACGAGGATCATTATGATGAGGAGGAGAATCAGGAAGAGAACGGGCAAGACATGGAGCACGGAGACGAAAACCTGGTAGATTTAATTTGTTTTATGTATGTTTATATGTTTAGGAACGTATGCAGATTCTTGCCTTTGAAAGACTACTGAACGCTCGGGCAGAAGGCCGAAACCGACGTCACGAGAATCGCAACCATAGTCGTAGACAGGAAAGACAAGAAGCTGGTGAAACTTCCGCGAATCACGAGAGAGGTAGAATTTTACTTTGGTACTACTGTTACTAAATTATTTTAGTCGATGTCGTACCTGAAGGATATGCTGCTGCTCAAGAATCCGCTGCCGATTCTTCTTCGGAAGTTATGACAACTCTACCACGTAGGGATTCAGTGGTAAATTCATTCTACTTATTTTTCACTACCAACAATTCTAGGAAACTGCCAGTCGCCAGCCACCAAATCGATCGCCACAAGAAGCAGTCATGATATTTGCCACCGAGAATGTGGGCCAACCATTAACCGGTAAGTTTCTGGAATTAGATGCTACTATGAATTATTTAAGCATCAGGGAATGTGACATTGGGTGAAGCAGGGGACAAGTCTACCGTTAATGATCATCACATGGTACGTTTTCTATCTATCTTGTAAACACATAATCTAAATTTAGAATGGTGACAGCATCCGTCATTTGTGCTCGTCTTTCTATATTATGGCACGACTTGCTTTGGAGATTGAACTTGAGAACTGGAAAAACGACGGTGGCCCTGATAGCTTGGTGAGCTTTATTTACGAATTCATATATCAACATGTAGTTAGAAACTTATCGAAGCGTCTCTGGGTCCAGCGTGGAAATGGCTTGCTGCAGCGCTTGATACGACTGAACAGAAAATCACACTCTCGAAGTCTCGACAAATTGACGTGAAACTTGAGGCGGGGTGAGCGCTCAAATCTTTTCGCACATGAGTGATATTCTAGGAATGTGCTGAAGGAGTTGAGTGAGGTGCCGACAATGTCGTCATCTGAGCTTTTGATCGATCTGATGCGCTCATCCGACGGAGAGTTCGGCGATCATCCACCAATTTTGAACGCTGGCCTCCTCAGACCATTGGCTCTACTGACAGATGTGTTTTTACTACGGTGCCGGGTGCTCGACACTGTTCGTTCAAGGAAAGTCACGCAACAGCCAACTATTGGTTCCTTTTTTGAGGTTTGAATGATACTTTATTTTATTGCATTATTTCATTCAGAGAGGCCTCAACTTCAGCTATCCTGGTGTTATTTTGAGTGAGAAAAGCTCCATTTTTGATGATCCGCTGAAATTGGCAACTTCGCCTCTACTCCTTCAGCCGACTTCCGCCAGACTCGATTACTTCAATCATCAAAGCGCAAAGATGTCATTGGAGAATTGGGACCAACTTTACGAGAAACAACTGGACCTCGAACTGAATGCCACTAGCAGGACCACTCCGGAAGAAAACCAACGCGTTGCTGCTCCATTCGAGAAAGACTCCACTCTTCAGTTGCTTGAAGTGGGTTTTGAATTGGTTATACGCAACAATCATTTTTAGGTTTTTATTTTATTTTAGCGCAATTATTTTAGGTTCGCGCAGAGTCAAGGTGGTCAAATGCATTAGAATGTTTGGCGAAAAACTTCCATGCGGAAATCTTTACTGTGTGCGGCCGCGAGGTTTGTTTAGAGTGGCCAATTTTAAGAATTTCGTTTTAGGTCAAGAAGTCTTTGTTGATCATCGGACATGCCAGCTACAATGTGAGGGCGCATTACTTCAACCAAAAGATTTTTGAATACAGTGGCCAAAATCCGAGCAAAAAGATTACTTTGGAGGTGACTTCTTGTCAATGGTTATTAAATCACTTGTTCTGTAGAATTTGTCACACAATGCCGAGAAGTTGATCAGGGATACGGCCTCTCAATTGGATGCTCAATTCTTGAAACGTCTGAGTCCAAGAGTGCCGCCTGGGCCAGTACTATTTGCATCCGAGGTGAAGACTTGATTGTATATCTAATTATATGCTCTAATATTTAGATGAAAGTCAGCTACGAAAACGAGCCAGGCGAAGGTCAGCAGTTGGTGGTGGACCTAAATTTGTTATCTTTAGGAAGTGGCGTGGTCCGAGCATTCTTTTCATCATATGCGGAGGCCCTGATGACCTTACGGAAATTGCCACAAGGAACCTCTCTTCAAGAAAAACAAGATGACTTGACTGAGCCCAAGATTGATGACAACGCTCCTTTGTTTTACCAAGTTAGCCTGGCCTTAATTTTTTTCCAATCTTTTCATTCAGATGTCGACTGGCCAAAAAGTCTTCTCTATGTGCCCGGGCAACGGAACTCCCAAACGCTTGAGCAATTTCCGCAATGTTGGAAGGTTGGTAATTCAAGCGCAGATTTCAATAACTTGAATTCAGGGTCTTTGGCTTGGCTCTTGTCCAAAAACAAGTTCTACCACTCTCTTTGCCTCGCCATTTATGGAGAGCAATCGCCGCCGAAACCAGTTTTTTGCTTTCTTTCCACGATTTGGCTTTCGTGGATCACGAAGTAAGGGCAGCTATTTCCGAGTCAAAAAGTTTTTGATTTCAGCTTTATATGAGACTTCGGGAACTTATCATGGAGAAGAAAGACGAGAAGGCCCTCACAAAAAAAATTAAATGATTTGGAACTGTACTTCACGTGTATGTTGCCAAAAGAAGAAACCGATGGAAAGGTGAGCTTTGTGGAAAAAAAGTTCTTGATCTTGCTAATTAGACACCCCGAGAAGTCGAATTGTGCCCGGGAGGAAAAGAAATGCGTGTGACGAGCTCAAATCTTCCCCAATACGTTTACCAGCTGGTGAAATGCAGACTTGGCCGGCCAGAACTGCAGCAATGCTATGCGGTTTGTATCTTTTATTTGTCAATTTACCCTATTACAGTTATTTGCGCAAGGCATTCAAGACGTGGTTCCAGCTGGATTTTTGGCCCATTTGACTGCTGAAGATTTGGCCTTACTTGTCAATGGAGTTGCTGAAGTAATCTCGCTTGAGTATTATTTTTCAAGTTCAAATTTAGATTCCCATCGATCGCCTCAAAAAAGTTAACGACTTTCCAAGAAGAGTGCCAAATCTCGCAATCGGATCTCAAAAAGTTGGAACGCTGGTTTTGGGAAATCGTGGATCGATTCAGCGACAAAGAGAAACAGGTACCTTTGTGAGGTGATGGGAAAATGAATGTTATGTTCAGGACTTGATTTACTTCTGGACGGGCTCTGCGACGCTTCCGGCACTGGACGAAATGTTTGTGGCACGACCGACGATTGTGATCAAGTAAGAGCCACTACTAAAAAGTACAACTATATCATATTTTGATTTAGAAACTTGTCGAATGATCACTTACCCTCTGCGAACACTTGTGTCTCTCGTCTCTACATGCCGCACTACACGTCGAAAAACACTATGTACCTCAAACTACGCCATGCCATCCAAATTAAAGTGTTTGGTTTTGTATAGATTGGCGTTATTATTATTATTTTTGCGTTTGAATTTATTGTTTTTAAAGAATGGAATGTTTCTCAAGTCAAGTATTGCATTGTTTTCAATAAATGTTTTCTATCAAAATCGTTAAAAGGCGCAAATGTTTAAATGAAAAAGCATTGATGTTATTTGAGTCCATTTTAAAGGACAATGGCGTTTTTAAAAGGATTTAATGGTTGCGTTTGCGTTTGCGTTGGTTGGGCTTTGAGCTTCAAATTTGAGCGTTAATGTGTCGATCGCTAACTCGTATCTTGCAACTTATCACTGTTGTCACTTTCTTTTTTCAGATGGCGTCCGCTTCCTCTACAGCGGTTTTGCGGTACCGGGTTGCGGTGGGGCTTTTTCAGCGATTGCGCAAATGGTGTGTGGACTTCTTCTGGATTACCCTGTTCTGCTTGATGGGATTTGTAGACGATGAGCGGCAAAAGTGCGCAACAAGCAAGCGAAACACTCTGTATCACAGGAGGAAATCAACGACTGAAAGGATGCGATCGCGAACCAAAGAAATCGCCGAGATCGAGATGAAACTGTTACGACATTTGATGAGCCCGCTGAATGAGATGATTCTATCGGTGCGAAAATCATCGAAGAAACGACCCATCGGAATGGTCTCTCGTCCACCATCGCCTCAACTATTCGATATCTGCGAGGAGACCGAGGAGACTTGACGTTGTCTCCCAATTACGAAGATGTACCCTGCAACAAAGTAAGACTTATCTAGGTCAGTCCACTTTACAATTGTATCTTTGTTGTGAATATCTTGCTTCCGCTTGGAATTTTAGTTATTAAGCTCTGGTTTCTTCACATTAATCTTTGTGACTCGTGTGTTTAGAGTCGAATTTTTCTTATGGTTAGAATATTATGATTTGTTTTTGATCGGGTAACTCGTAATCTCCTCATAAAACGGGTTCCTTTTTGCTTAAAAGATCATCTTTTATTATAATATATAATCTATGACTTTGGTATCACTCTTGTAAACTGCTAGTTTTTGAATTTACAATTTCATGTGTTTTCTTTGGTAAATGGTGAGAAATGAATTTGATGCAGATTTTCCAAAAGAAGCAAAACTAGCTTGAAATTTTATGCGGAAAGTTGACAAAATTTGTATGAAAATGTATGCTAATGAAATGGTCATTGTTCCAGCTGGAACAGCGCAGAAATCTCAGCTTTGAGTGCAAAAATGGTTTACTTCTCGAGTTGATCATTTTCTGTACTCTGTGCTTTATGAATGGGTAGACGCACTCAAATGACGTATTTTGATTTGGTAGATGTAAGTAAATTTGTCATTAACTGAAATCTTCGCAAAAGTGATCCGAGTGCGCCAGAAATTAGTAAATTTTGACTTCGAACCTCTGCGAAATTAGTGAAAAACAGCGGCGATTGGGGTTTTTTTATGTTTTTTGGAGGTTTTGGAAACTTTCAAATCTGCTTCTACATCGCGATGAAGCACTGCCTCAGTTGCTTATGACAGAACCACAAGCGGCGATCCCTTTCACGCATCCAGCAGTTGGTACTCTTTGAGTCAAACCTGGACCAGATCAATCCCAAGCCAGCCTCCACCATTGACCGGGGTTCGGCAGTCTCACTTGGAGGTCAAAGGAAAATTCCTTTAATTTCATCTCTTTCTCGTAAAAAACTGATTAATTCTCGATTTAATCAACAAAAATATGAAAAATATTGACAAAAGACGTTTATCGAGATGGGAAAATGAGAAATTTTCATGGAAAATATAAGAAAATAAAATAATTTTAAGAATTCAATAAAAAACTTTGTTTTTTTTGCAGAAAAATCGATTTGTACTGGGAAAAAAATGAATGAAAACACTAAAATGCCGATTATTTTGAACTTAAAATCGAGAAATGACGGAGTTTAAAGAAATTGAGCAAAGAATCTCGACGTTTCACCCATTTAACCACTTTCAACTGTGCCTCCATTCTCGGCAGCTCGTTGAGGAAATCTGAAAGAGAAATGGATTTAGATACATTTAAAGTCTTAGCTACCTTAGCAACATAACTTTTTTTCGACTTTAATGCACTGTAGCTTAGCTGTAGGATTGATTGGCATGGATTGTTTCGGGTTTAATGCGCTTTAGCTTGGCCTTTAATTGATTTGCTTGGATTGATTGGCTTTAAATTTGCCTAATCTCCGAAATTTCTGTAGTTTTCAATAGAAAAAATGGGAAAAATAAGGGATTACGATAGCCCTATACCCCCGCTAAAGATCGGCTAATTGAAGAGCTCAAAGCGCAAAGATTGATGCGCGCCCGGGATTCGAACCCCCGACCTCTCGCTTACCGAGCAACTCTACTAGCCATTACACCACGCTGAACCTGATACTCCTGTTAAGCCAGAGGGGCTTAACTCGAATTCCAACTTCGTTTGGAACTACCATCTGAAAAACTAGCTTAACAGCTTAAGGGCGAGTTTTTCTGGCCAAGTTGTATCTGTCGTCATGGCGCAGTCGGTAGCGCCCCCGTCTACAAGCCACGTGACCCGGGTTCGAACCCCCTTACTGCCTTCAATTGCTTCAATTTTGAGTTTTCTAATTTTGATTTGAAATGAAAAACTACAAGATATTCTAAGGAAAGCAATTCTACAAAGGGATTTGAGTTTAAAGTTCGATTCTCGATGTTCAATCGTCGGAAACTCGATGAACTCACCGAGGAAAGCGTTCGCGTAGAATCTCTCCTCATTATATTGATTCTCCGCTCTGCATATCGGGCATCTCAATTGGTAAACGCTTGGCCACTCGTCGTCGTCGAATGGGAAAATGATACGTAACTTCTGCGAGCACTCCAAACAAATCGCATGACCGCAGAGGAGATCCATTGGCGAGAGTAAAGGGATCGACGTGTTTACTGGGAGATTTGTTGAAATTCAGAAATGAAATACGAGCACTTAGCTTAGCTTTATCTACGAGCACTTAGTCTAGCTTTATCTACGAGCACTTCGTTTAGCTTTACGACTTTGCTTTCTGCAAAATTGTAAAGCTTTTTTTTTTCATGTTAATATCATTATTTTAAAGTCTAGAAGTGGTAGAATGATTGAAAATTGAAGGGAAAAATTCTTTGAGTCTCGTGGCCTTTTCAAATGATATGAATCCAACGCTGTGTTTTACGCTCATTTCAATGAGGTAGAAATGAGCTGCCAAAAAAAGGTGCGTAATGTTTAACTTGTTTTGTTTTGTTTTGAGAAATTTTGAGCCCCTCCTGTTAACCCGATTTTTTTTTCGACCCAAACTGTGGTTGAGTGGCTGAGTGCTGAGTGCTGATCAGTGGCTGAGTGCTCGTACAGAAAGCTTGGGGTCGAGACTTCAAAAGACCCGATCCGTCTCACTTTTTTCTTTCTTTCCTTTTTTTTTTGATTCTACGTTCTTTTGTGTTCTTTTATGAGTCCACAGAAACGTTTTTTTTTTTTTTTTTTTGCGATTGATTGCGATTCGATTATCGTTTATCATTCTTGTTAAACGTTTAATTGCTTTTCAATGGATACAAAGTGATTGTATACAGAGTTTTCAATGGATACAGAATTGCTTTTCAATGTCTTGCTTTCAATGACGAAATTTGCTTGCGCGAGATTTCATTTTTGACTTGTTACTTTTAAAATCGAAAAGAAAAAAAAAATCGTTTATGTGGACGCAAAAAGAAAACAGAAGAACGTAGAAAGGAAAAAAAAGGGAAAAAAAAAATGAGACGGATCGGGTTTGTCTCGATCCGTCTCGATCGGATGTCTCGATCGGATCGAGTCTCGACCCCAAACTTTTTCTGTACAAACCACTCTTCTAAACCACTCATGAACAGTTTGAATTGAAAAAAATCGCCTTAAAAGGAGAGGCTCAAAACTTCTTCGATACAAGTTAAACATTACGCACCGTTTTGGCAGTTAATTTTTACATCATTCGAATCAGCGGAAAATTCTGCGTCGAATGGTGTAGCTGTTTCGAATCCAACTAGGCGTTCGGATCTGATCCGGACGTCTGAATCAGACGAGAATGAGTGTCGGAGGTTTCGGAATCCGATTCGGGCGTCTGAATCCGGTCATTGATTATCTTGTGGTCGGATTAGGATGTCCGATACCGACCAAAAGATGATGAATGGCCATCCGGATCGGATTCGGATGGCCATTGACTATCTTGTGGTCGGTTTCGGACGTCTGTATCCGATACGGACATCTGAATCCGATACGGACGTCTGTATCAGATCCGGACGTCCGAATCCGGTCATTGATTATCTTGTGGTCGGATTAGGACGCCCGAATCCGATTCGGACGTCTGTATCCGATACGGACATCCGAATCCGATACAGACGTCCGAATCCGGTCATTAATTATCTTGTGGTCGGATTACGACGTCCGAAACCGACCAAAAGATAATGAATGGCCATCCGAATCCGATCCGGATGGCCATTCATTATCTTGTGGTCGGTTTCGGACGTCGTAATCCGACCACACTCATTCTAATCTGTTTCAGACGTCTGGATCAGATCCGAACGCCTGGTCGGATTCAAACGTAACATATATATGATCGGAAAAGGCTACGGGACCCAATGATCTTTCTCTTGTTAGTTTGATAAAGTTAAACGTTATTCTGTAAAGAAAGTCGATCGATTTCTGATTGAAAAGCAATTTTTTGGTTTTGGTTGGTTTTGATCACCCAAATCGATCCAAATTCAAAAAAAAAAGGATCAAAAGCTACATAGAAAAAGCCTTTGTATGCCAGAAAGCGAGCGTTTCACGCTAGTTCACGCTTTCTTTCTCAGTGCGTACTTTGTGCTCTTCAAAAATGGTAAACGCGCCTTTTCTGGCTTGAAATGAAATGGGAAATCGAGCCAGAAAGGCTGTGTTTACAGCTTTGA